TTGGTAAGACTCGCAAATATGTAAAAACTACCTTTGATGCCAAGAGGTTGCAGGGGAACGGCTGACTTAGTACGCTTGCGGTATTCGCCAAAGGCGATCGAGTGGCGAGTGAAATTTGATCACAATCGTACCATTGGTGTCAGCACTTGCAGGCCTTATGCGGAAAATGTTTCTAATCTGGAGAGCCAAGAAATCAATTGAGAGACAGACCTGATTAAATATGCTTTTCAAATTTTCCCCTTCTATGTACGGAACGCCAAAAGCAACGGCGTCAGCAGCAATGTCAGGAGCAGCTATTTGTTATGTTGCCTTCATTATCTCCCCTTTCATGTGAGCAAGTTCAGTCTCAGCTATCTGCACTCTCTCCTCTAACGCAGATATGCACGCAATTTCAGCCACAGCTTTCTGCACACGCTCCTCTAACACATCAATGCGTGTAGATGTCTCCTTTAGTGTGGTTGTTAGCAACAATATCTCATCAATACGTTTCGACAGCTTCTTTTCAACCTCAGTTACCGCTGAAACACAATGCCGACGAACGGCGAATTTTTCGCTGCAAATGTTCGCTGTAAAAATTAAAACACACTGTTGTATATGAGAACCAAAGCAAACGCCGACGTTCATCGACGACTGTTCGCAACTGTTATTTCTATCGTCGTCGCTGGCGGCAGCGGCAAAATACGATTCATTGTAGCCATATGCTAAATATTCTCAAGTTTTTAAATCGAAATTGAAAGATACTGTATTAGTTTTTGTTAAAAATTTATAATCTTATTGTTTGTAAAATTTCGTTGTCGCCGTAGTTGTGTTTTACTGAGCGAAATTTTTGGGCGAAAGTTGCCGCCGTCGTCGCACTACCTTGCGAAAATTCGCCGTTCGTCCGTATTGTGTTTCAACGGTTAGTTTGGTTGAGACACTCTCGATAAGCGGGCACAACTGTTCTGTCTGCTGATGACCTCTCTTCTCTAGCTCTTTAATTTTGTGATAAACAGCCATGACGGCGGTTTGTCAAACCTTCAAACACCCCCATACACAGCACAAATGGCTTGAAGCAAAGGGAAATTTCGCTTGGTTTGTCAAACCGCTTGTGTGGTGTATTTCGCTCTTAAGAGTGATACTTTCGTCAAGCTTAACAGTTTTATTCGGTGGGGAACCTTTACTCGACCCACGTTTCAGCGACGAGGCAGCAGTAGGCGACATAGCTGACAGACACAAACAAAAAATTTATTTAAATTTTACTTAAGCAAAAATTAATAATTAATAATTAAAATAAATTTTAACCACACAGATTATGCCGGAAATATAGGAAGAGTCAGAGCGATATGCAAACACGTCCGAACCGCGCAAAAAAATCTTGTAAATTTCGACTGGTATTTCCTGTTTTAAATCTTATATGAAAAAAGTGATAATGATGGTCTTTCTTCATATTTTTTAAAGCAATGCGTCTCATCCATCTGTGTCCCATTATGAATAATTTTTAATCTTTCCAAATTAACAGCATGCTCCAAACTTTTTGAAATAGTCGTCAAAGATAAGTTTTCTTTCGCTACTAAGAACATATTAGAACCTCGTCAGTCACGGTGGAGAGAATACAGAGGTGGCGCCGATGACGATACCGCTGCTCGGCTCTCAGTGATTTTGACAGAATCAGCTGTTTTGGTGACGTCTTAGTAGAGAAGTCAGCAGTAGTGATGTGCTGAGTCAATACTTCTAAGTACCCAATACTCTCGATACTCGGTACCGAAACATTTAGGTTTCGAATAAAAGCGCACATAGGAAATATGGAAAAAACGCCTAACAAAACCCGAATGTAAGAGCCAATAGGCTTCTTCATCCGTCAAAGTATTTTTCTTGAACCTTGGACCGACTAAGGTTAAAACTGATAAAATAATATTTTTCTGTGGCGATAAGTTCAAGTGTTTTAGCCGATATCATATAAATTAGTAATGAAAGTTTTTTCTAAACCTGAAATGCATATAATGGCGAGGGTTTAATGTAAATAATCGGTATCGGATACCGAAAAGGAAGTATAGGGTACCGAAATCTTTTTTAAGTATTGGGTACCGAGTATTGGGGACAATTCAGCACATAGCACAGCACACTAGTCGCCCTCATTCTCGCCGCTCTCAGTTGTCAACTCTACGATGACGTCACGCTAAAATTACTCTCACGAATTCTGCTGCAATCGGCGCAATCCAAGAATGATCTGGATCGTGGGCGCAATCTTGTATTCTATCATTCTTGCTCGTCAGTATGGTTTTGTTCGCGGTCGCTCAACGGTTACTAATTTAGTGACTTTTTCGGAATATTGTGTCTCATCCTTCAAACGTGGGTCTCAGGTGTACACTATTTCTACAGACTTTTCCAAAGCCTTTGACAAATTTTCGCATTCTATTTTGCGACGTAAGTTGGAAAGTCTTGGTTTTCACTCGGTATTTTTGTCCTGGTTGAAATCTTATCTTTCGAACCGATTGCTGTATGTTGAAATGAAGGTTTCAGATCTAACAGCTTTATTGCAACTTCCGGTGTACCACAAGGTAGTGTCCTTGGCCCTCTTTTATTTGTTTTATTCATAATCGATATTGGGAACTGTTAAATATTCCGAGTTCCTCCTCTACGCAGATGACCTGAAACTCTTAAAAAAATTACTTGTGTCTCTGATATACTTTATCTACAACATGATCTGGATAATCTTATTATTTGGAGTCCGGCAAATAAATTATCATTGAACATTAATAAATGCTACCATATGAACTTTTCTAGATCTTCAAACATCATCAGTTCGAATTATAGTATTTTAAACCATAAACTCACCTCAGTCAATGATTTTCTAGATCTGGTTGTTGTGTTTGATTCGAGCTTCACTTTTACAAATCATGTTAATTACGTTATCCCGAAGGCGTATAGCAACTTATCATTTCTGCGTAGATATGCTAAGGATTTTAAAGATCCTTATACCAGGAAACTCTTCAATGCGCTGGTACGTTCCCTGTTAGAGTATGCCTCTATAATATGGAATCCAATATATAGCTGTTATGC